GTCTATTTACTGTGTGTCTCCCCCCTCAGGCACCTGTGTTACAGTCTATGTCTGTAGGTCAGAGGGCAATTGTCAGGAGCTAGGGGATTCCCCGTCCACCCTGTGGGTCTCAGGGATGGACACCAGGCTTCAAGCTTGGCAGCAAGTGTCTCTGACTGCCAAGCCATCTTTCCAGCCCTCAAACATGCAACTCTTATGTCCTAACATGTCTCTAGTCATGAAGAAAAATGTGACTTCCCTAAGACATTCAATCACAATACGTATGCATTTTACATGCCAAGATTTTACTTATTATTGCCCTGACGCAGGTGGAGGTCAGAGGGCAACTTTGAGAGTGGGTTCTCTCCGTCCACATTTTATGTGGATTCCGAGTAGGAGATTCAGGTCACCTGGCTTGCACAGCCATCATTTTTACTGGCTGAGCCATCTTACCAGCTCACATGTGCTGTTTTAACCCACATCTCAGCGAAACAGAATTCATGGTGCAGTTTGTGTCCCTCGAGGTCCTTTCCCGTGACCATCAGGCTATATCATTTATTAACACGGAACATCTAAAATCACATGTGGAGGCCCCCAGAAGGCTTGGAGATGCCATCTGCCTTTCTGCCCTGTAGGGTCATGGGGCTGGTCCCAAGACTCTCATTCACTGTCAAGTCAGCGATCCCATGACCAGAGGAAGGGAGGGTCTGTCTCTCAGTGAGGAACTCTGAGATTTGGCTTCATTCCAGGTTGGGTCCAGCGAGGCAGACAGAGGGACTGGGACAAACCAGCATCTGCCAGCATAGCTGTGATGTAGAAGGTCTGCTCTGGGAGATGCACACATCCCCAGAGCTAGGTGAGCTCTGAGCTGCTGCAGGGCCTGTACCTGGGTTATGTCTTGATGAATCTGTAGACACAGTGCACTGAAAGGCACCAGGCTTTTACAGATGGGTTACGTCCTGAGGTACTGGGGTTCTGGCTGCTTGCTACCCCCATAGCTAACCTCCAAGTCTCTGGCCAGCATCAAGTCTCTGCTTAATCCCCGGCCAACATCAGAGGACCTTTGTCTCTTTCCCAAACGGGAACTTTGCTCGAGGAGACTGGGCTCCTTGGACCTGTTTCTCTTCTTAGTGCACCTCTTGCACCTTTGGAGGGTCTATTGAGAGTTTCAGTGAACGACTTCAATTGGCACCCCCAATGCTATTCCACACAATCACACAGGGAGCTGAGGTTGCAGGAAAAAATGGGATGCCAGCTGTTCCTCAGAGCCCAGAAACATTAATATTAATATTATTATTAACAAAAGAACGTGGGGGCTCCAACAGGCTAGCGTTGAATGTAGACATCAATTTATTAACATTACATATTAACATCCAGTCTCCCAAACACCAACAGTATCTTTCTCCATTTCCTTAATATTTCTCAGGGTTGCTTTATCACTTAGGGCAAAGATTTTTTTATTACACTTATTAATGTATTTTTAATGTTTTCGCTAGTAAAGTGTTTTAAATCTCATGTCCTAATTGTGTGTGGAATACAATTAATTTTACCTATTAATCTTGTATACCCTTCAGCTGATAGCGGCAGCTAACTAGTGCTGGTCACTTTGTTCTCAAGAGCTTTGAATTTCAGACGGCCACAGCCACATCCAGCTTGGCTCCAAGGACTGACCTGAGAGAGGCACCCAGGGACCAGAAAGAAGACAAACACAGAGAAGCATCCAAAAGCTGGGATCTGGCAGACTGCGCCCTCTGATGGAGGAGCCTCAGCACCTCAGAAGCTCTGAGTATATTATACACAGATGGACGGGGAGGTGGGGTTACTGCATACAACTGAATGAGGAGGCGGGATTGTGGCAGATAAATAAGGAGATAGGTTATGCCAGCCTCAGTAGGAGCCTTCCTCATCCAGTTACCATCTGGGGGTAGAAAGCTATGGTGGATATTTTTTGCATACACTGTTTCCATTTGCACTTGGACCTGAAGGCTTTGCTGTCCCCCCTCCTCCCCAGGCCTCATCTGGGAAAGGCTTTGTCATTCCTGTGGGGTTGAGGGACTGTGGTCTACATCAACAGCACACATTCACTCAGGACTTCACTGCTGTCTACGCCAGACACATACCATTGTTCTCTCTAATGTCTGGAAGAGCATTTATTTTTCTTGCCTTATTGCACTGTCTAAAACCACTAGTACAATACTGGACAGAAGCACCAAGAATGGACATCTTCCACATGCTCTAGATCCAAGGTGGGGGGTGTTCATTATGTTTGCATGCCTCTGATGTGTATATACTGAAGTCTTGTCTCCAAGGTGATGACTTTGGAAGGCCCTGCAGCTGATTAGAAGGTAACAGGTCTTGTGACAAGGTCACCAGGGCGCTGCCCTCCTGAGAATTTCCCTGAGATGGTCCTGTCATCTCTCTCTCTCTCTTACCAAGTGAGGGCAATGTTATCGTTTCCACCAGAGGAGGTTGGTACAAAAAATGCCAGCTATAAAGTAAGCGCTGCCCAGACATTGCATGAGGCCTTGAACTCTCCAGACTCCAGAACAATAAGATACATATTTCTATTATTTATAATCTAGCCAGACCTCAGTACTTTGTGATACAACAGCTTTATACTAGGGAAAAAAATTCCACAAAGATGTGTTTTCTTCTAGAAAATGTACAGTTATTGGTTTAACATTTGGGTCAGTGATTCATTCTTAGCTATTGTTTTTAATTTTTTTTTTGAGACAAGGTTTCTCTGTGTGACCCCGATATAGACCAGGCTGGCCTTGAACTCACGGACATCTGCCTACCTCAGCCTCCCAAGTGCTGGGATTAAAGGTGTGTGACACTACCACCTGGCTTGCTTTAAGTTTTTATGTGTATTAGTACTTTGCTGCATGTATATATGTGCATCATGTATGTGCCTGGTGCCTAAGGAGACCAGAAGAGGGTGTCAGGTTCTTCTAGAACTGGAGTTACAGACAATTGTGAGTCATGTGGGTGATGGGAATTGAATCTTGGTCTTCTGGAAGAGTAGCAGATATTCTTAACCTCTGAGCCATCTCTCCAACTTCCAAGTTACTCTTTTGAACATTACATAAGGTTCCGAGTTATGGATCTCTTTGCCCCACCTTCTTCTTTTTTTATTTTTTGAGACAAGGTTTCTCTGTGTAACAGCCCTGGCTGTCCTGGAACTCGCTCTGTAGATTAGGCTGGCCTCGAACTCACAGAGCTTCTCCTGCCTCTGCCTCCCGAGTGCTGGGATTTAAGGCGTGCGCCACCACCTCTTGGTGCCCTCCTTCTTCCTGGCATCTCTCTCCTCTTCTTCTTTCTCTCTTTCTTCCTCAGCATCTTCTTCCTTTTCCTCCTTTTTTTTTTTTTTTTTTGGAATATCCAATCATCCGGGCGCAATTTGTGGAAAAGACCATTTTATACTCCTGACTCATCCTTTAGTCCAGGTTAAAAGTTTGTTGTGTGCTCATGTGTGGGCTGACCTCTGACCTCTTCCCTGTCTGTCTTTATACCAGTCTCCTCTATTTTGTCTGTACTGCCTTCCTAACACGTCTTGCAATCGGGTGGCATTTGCCCTCCACCTTCGTTCTTCTCTGGTGAAGGGGTTTTTGTCTGCTCCAAACCCTATGCTATTTCCATGTAAATCTCAGGACAGCCCGTGGATATCAGCTAAGAAGCCTGCTGGGATCATGATTGCCTTCTATCTCCACACCAAGTTTGAGAGCCAATATCTTAACGATATTAGGTGTTTAATTTGTATCAGCAACGGTAGCTACGGTGTGTTCAGAAATGTCACCTCCTTCGCCAGGTTTCTCTCTAAGGGGCTCACAGTTCAAGGCTACTTATGTAGCACCTGCTACTTAATTTTTTTTTAAATGTTCAGCTGTTCATTGTCAGGGTGTAGAAACACAATTGACTTCTTAGCATTGATCTCTTCTGCTACACGGTGAAACTTATTAATTCCTCTAGCCTTTCTGTAGACTCATCAGATTTCTTTTTTATGTAGATCAGTGTTTTTTTTTTTTTTTTTTTTTTTTTTTTTTTAGTAGAGAGAGCTTTATTTACTTCTTGTCAGTTTTGTTGCCTTTCCGGTCTTTTACTTGCCTGAAGGGTCTGGACGGAACCTGAAAGATGCTGTGTTGAATCAGCTGAGCACGGGACTGCTGAGAGGAACGGGCGGGTAAAGGTGCTCACTGCCAAGTCTGAGGTCCTGTGTTCGAGCCCTGGAACCCACGTGGTGGAAGGAGAGAACTGACTCCCAAAGGTTGTTCTCTGACCTCTGGATGTGTACTGTGGCGTGTGTGCACCCTTTCCCATACACACGAATCAATCAATCAGTCAATTAATTGAACAGTTAAATAATTAAGTAAATAGAAATAAAAAAGCGCCAAGAGCGGACACCCTCAGGTGCTCCTGTCCTGCAGGTCAACCTTCCCCACTCAGTCTGTTAAACAGAGGTGTCTGAAGCGTCCCTTGTCTCATCCAGGGTCCCCGCACCCTGCACGCCCAGTCCTTGTTTGCTGAGGATTTCCCTTTTTTTTTTTTTTTTTTTTTTTTTTTTTTTAGTTTTTTCCCTTTTGAACCAGCAACGGGTGTCAGTGAGATTACATTTGTTAACCCTGTTTTCCTTCTGGCAGGACCTTGAGTTCAGTGCTCAGGAAAGGCCCAGCATGCTGCCGCTGTCTTTCTCAAAAGCTGTGCAGCTTAGCAGCAAGTGCAAAGGTGGTAGAGCCAGGCTTCTCGCTCTGACTCTTCTGCCTTCCTAATTTTAATTTAAAAAATTTGTTTTTAAGCACTGGGAACTGAACCCAGAGTCTCAAAATTGCTAGACAAGCACTCTGCCACTGAGCCACGTCCCCAGCCCCTTACTGGTGGATTCTAGGCAGGGGCTCTACTACTGGGCTATCATCTCCAGTTCTTTTTAAAAATATTTTATTTATTTATTTATCTATCTATCTATCTATTTATTTATTTATTTATTTATTTTTTCAAGACAGGGTTTCTCTGTGTAACAGTTCTGGCTGTCCTGGAACTGGCTCTGTAGACCAGGCTGGCCTCAAACGAGATCCGCCTGCCTCTGCTTGTCAAGTGCTGGGATTAGTGTTTTGTGCCTCTACTGCAGACCTGGCTTGTATTTCATTTTCAGACATGGTCTCACCAAATTTCCAAGACTAGCCTTTGTCTCATTCTGTACCTCAGGTTGACCCTGAGTTTGGGATCCTCCTGCCTTAGCCTCCTGAGTAGCTGGGGCGATGATACCTCTGCAGGCACAGCCCTGGCTTCTCAGCTTGGCAGCTATGCTGCATGTATGGGTCAAGACTTGACCAGGTCAGGCTCAGTCTGCACACAGAGACGGGGTGCTGCCTCTCACGATTGTTGGAAAAGGAAGGGTGCATGTGTGTGCATGTGTGCGTGCGTGCATGCATATGTGTGTGCGTGCGTGCGTGTGTGCGTGCGTGCGTGCGTGCGTGTGTGTGTGTGTGTGTGTGAACACCGTGATCAGCAGAATGCCTTCTGGGAGAGGACCCTCCCCTAATGACATCCCTTGGAAACAGAACTCGCCCTTTCCTGGAAGGCCTCCTAGACCCCATCTCTTGGTACCACAAGGGCCGGAAGGGGCTTTTGTTTCCCGCATAGTTTTCCCCTAACTGCATCAGTGCCATCATCCAAAGGCATATGTGACAATGTGGACAGCTGACCTTTTTCTCAAGCCTGTGCTCCGCTCCTCCTCCCTAAAAGGCACATTGAATGCCTCACCCCCGCCCCCGTACCTCGGACTGTCTTATCTGGAGACAGGTCTGTACAGATGGATTCGCATCTGGATGAAATCATAGAATGGCTCTGATCCGACGTGACTGTGTTCCTCTCCACACAGGGCAGACTTGGACACAGCTGTGTACAGAGAAAGGCACTGTGAAGTCACGTGCGTGAAGATGGACGGTCAGGATACCCTTGTGAAGACCAAGAAACTGCCATCACCAATGACACTGGCTACTAGAAGAGGCTGGGAAAGAGGCTAGCACGGTTTGGGGACTTACGAGGAGCCCGGGCTGCCCTTAAGCTTGGACTTCTAGCCTCCCAAACTGTGGCTGTTTAAGCTACTGAGTTTGGGTGCCTTGTTAGGGCCGGCCTGGAACCTCATCAGCCACTGGTAGGCTTCTAAGTGTACAACTCAGCTTTATTATGTGAGTTCTGGGTGATTAAACTTAGGTCTCCATGCTTGCACGGAAAACACTGTACTGACTGAACCATTTGTCCTATCCCTGGAAATGTTACTTCTTTATTAAATTTTATTTTATCGACGGATTTATTTTTATAGATATTACATTGATTGCGGGAATGCATGTGGACGACGACTTCTAAGAGTCAGTTCTCTCATATCACGTAATGTCCCAGGGATGGAACGCAGGTCATCAGACTTTTTAGCTGCTGCGCCACGTCGCCGATTCTGGAAAAGTTACTCATGTTGGCCCTGATATGCTGCCACACACAAGTACCCTACTGCCTTCTCTGAGCCTCCTTATCTGAGTGCCCTTTCTTGAGTTACCCCAGACTCTTTCAAAGATTCCACTCTTCCTCTCTGGCCCTGTCCTCCAATCCTGCCCTACTCTCGTTCTCTGGGCAATCACCTGTGCCTCTCCTACAGGGGCATCTGTACCCACAGGGAAGCATTCATCCCCGTATCCTCCCAGGGAGCTGGCTGGTAGACCTGGCTCCATATGTACCAGGAGGATGCTGCAAGTCCAAGGTCCACTTAAACAGATACCAAGGCTCCTGAAGGTTGGGTGACCTGCTACCAGCCAGAAGGCTCCTCTGAGTCGTGTATATCAGGTATATCTGAAACCCAAAGCTTCCTTGCCTTGAGTCACACTGTCTACTGGCCACACCTTGGGCCTCTGTCCTCTGTCCTGCAGCCTTTTCTTGTCATCAGACACTGTGTTCTGGCAGCACCAACAAGTCCTCTTCTTGGTGGTGATGGAGTCCTGGGGCTGGACTGGTCTTTTCCTGTGGAACAGTCACTGTGTCTCCTAGAGAGCCACTGTGGGGAAAGCATGCGGAACCAGTGGTTCAGCTGTGAAGACAGCACCTCCGACCACGCCTGCCTGTGACTGTGTAACATCCCGTGCATTTTCTCCTCTTCCAGCTCTGTTTTGGAAACGGCTGATGCTTGACCACAGGAGACAGGGTAGGGTCCAGGGAGGCCTGGCTGCTAGTGTGACTCAGGTGATGGAGGAAGGACATTGGTTAATTATAATAAAGAAACTTCCTCGGCCCTCATAGGATAGAAAATTAGGTAGGCGGAGTAGACAGAAGAGAATGCTGGGAAAAAGAAGCTGAGTCAGAGAGTCGCCATGGTTCTCCCACTCCAGACAGACACAGGTTAAGATCCTCCCTGGTAAGCCAGCTCGTGGGCTACACAGAATATTAGAAATGGGTTAGAACAATATGTAAGAGCTAACCAATAAGAAACTGGAACTAGCCGGGCCAGGCAGTAATTGAAAGAATACAGTTTCCGTGTAATTATTTCGGGGCATAACCTAGCCATGCGGGCGGCCGGGTGCCGGGACGCAGCCCCGCCGCTCCTATTTCAACACTCAGGCAGGTCACCCCTGGCGGTCATGGTGGTATTGTCCACCGAGCTCCTGCTGTGTCTGGGCTCTGTGTCATCCTGTCTTCTGCCAGGTCCTCCCAGGTGCTGGTCCCTCCAGAGGAGGGAAGCTTGGCGCTGCTTGTCCAGAACTCCATCAAGGCCAACATGAACAGCAACTAGGGTCTCAGTGGAGGTAGGCTGCCAGGTTGCTATCAGGATGCTGCGGCTGCTGCTTCCTTCTGGGTCTCAGTTTCCCCAACTGTAAAACAAAGGACAAGATGGCTCTTGGGCTCTTTTCCTGTCCGGGAGTTCATGATGAGCAGAACACACAACCAAAGACTCTTTTAATGTGTCACTTATACAGGCACACTGGCTATTGTGTGGCACTAATTTGGGGTGATATGAACAAATAAATGCCTACTCTTCCCAGGTAGGGAACTAACAACAGACCAAAGTAACAATACCACTGAACGTAGGAGGGAGAAGGGCACAGGAAGTAGGATGTTTGACTGTGCTGGCCTGTGACATCACCCGGTCTAGCTTTGCCCCTCTTGATGGGACGGCACCATAGAACTTATTGAGGTCTGATGGACACCGGGTGTGGGATAAGGGGACCCACGTAGAACTTTGTCCCCAGGTTTTCTCTTTTGGCTCAAAAGGTAACTTCAAAAGTTGTGGTAGAACCTACCCCATGAGAAGCACACAGAGAATCCAGGAAGAGAGAGAGGATGCAACAGGACAGGCCAGCCAATCAGGTTCCTCCCTTGGCCTGATAAAGTCTCAACCCAGCCTCCTTTCCCAGGGCATTTGTGGGCTATTTGGGGCAGACCCCGCAGCTTTAGAACTGGTAACCTGTGGCAGACATTTCTAGTTTGAACTGGGATTTCTTTTCACTGGGCTGCGCCTTCCTTCTGCAGCATCCCCTGACAGTGGGATATGTGTCACATCTGAGGAACCATCCAGCTTCATGCTCTCCTGGGGGCCTCCTCCAGCACCCAGCAACAGGAAGGCTACCAGGGTGGCAGGGAGCAGGGAGGCAGGCCGGCAGGGTGACCCCTGCCCAGGGCCTGCGCAGATTCTAGGTGAAACAGAAAGGGGAATAAGGCTCGCTCTTCATGCCTGGTTACACTGAGAAATTCCCTGGCTGTGAGGCCTGTTGACATCCAAGGGAAGAGGGGCAGCAGAACCTGAAAAACAGAGCTCCAGCCCTCACGCTGCAATCCTGGACTCTGGGCATCTTGAATAAATAATATATGTCTAATCTTAGAATTGTAGCATTCTTCCCCCTCCTCCTGGAGAACAGACAAACAGGATCCTTTATGCCCTCGGAATCCAGATGACACCCTAGGGTCACATCCACCTGAGCCACTTAGTGGCTAGTGCTTATTCTAAGGAGGCAATGAAGACCAGCGTTGCAGAGTTTCAGCACTGGCAAGGGGTAAACACAGTGCTAGTCACATGCCCTCTTTCTTGCCAGTGGCCTTCACAGATGCCTTAGGATGAAGAAATAGTTCCAGCAAGTGACAAACCCTCTGAAGAATGGGAAAAACAATCAGCTTGCTGTTTATTTTTATTTTATTAGAGGTGTAGACCTTTAATCAGGTGAGCAGGAGATGGGTGATAAAGTGAATCGTGGACAACGTGAAGCAGAACATTCATAGTTCTGTCTCAAGTGTGACCATACATGTGCTAGCCACCAAGCCCCAGGGATCTGCCTGTCTCTGCCTTCCTAGCACTGGGATTATAAGCACAGGTCACCATGCCCAGCTTTTAAGTGGCTTTTGGGAATCAGACTCAGGTCCTCAAGTGTCTCCTCAGCCCCAGTTTTACATTTTCTAGGGGCCATGTTAAAAAAAAAAAGCAAAAAGAATTTTTTTTTAAATATTTATTTATTTATTATGTATACAACATTCTGTCCGTGTGTATGTCTGCAGGCCAGAAGAGGGCACCAGACCTCATTACAGATGGTTGTGAGCCACCATGTGGTTGCCGGGAATTGAACTCAGGACCTTTGGAAGAGCAGGCAATGCTCTTAACCGCTGAGCCATCTCTCCAGCTCCGCAAAAAGAATTTTAAGGTGGCATTAATTTGGGTATATTTTCAACATGCCCCCAAATATAATTTTATTACAATATATAATTTATAATAAATATTATTCAGCATGTGATCAATATAAAATAGTCCTACTTATTATATTCCTTTTGTGCTGTCTTTGAAACCTCATCTCAACTTGGACACTATTATTTCATTATTTGATCAATGTTTAGATTTCATAAAATTAACCTTATTCACATTCTTTCAAACATACTAAAAAGTTTTCTAATAAGCAAATCAAGTATTTGTTTTTTGAATGTAAATGAATTAAATTAAACAGAGTGGGAGACTGGGGTCCCTTAGTAACTCTGGCTCCATGTCAGGGGCTCAGTGGTCACTGGCAGCCATGGCTGCTGGGTTGGCAGCATACTGTCCTCCCGCCACCTCTGCTAAGCTCCTTGGCCGCCACCTTTAGTCCCGTCTCACACACTACTTCCCAAGAGTCCTTGGTCCTCAGAGCCATCTCCAGAACTCGCCTTCTCTTTAGAGGTTCCTCAGTGAAGGGAGCACCATTCCTATGAGAGCCCTAGCTTGTCATTCCCTGTAGGAGGGTTTGGGCCAGATGTGTCTCCACCCAATAATCTGGTCTCACTGTGACCTGCGTTATTTCCTGTCCCCGAAGCTTCTGGGGACTTGTCCATCAGCAGAAGAGCCAGGCCAAGACCCATTCCCTCCATTTGCCCAGCTCTATGCCTGTGTCCCCCATTTCTCCTTTCGTTCCTAGGCTTACAGAAAACCACAGACATGTGGATTGTTGCAGCTGGCTTGTGTATGAGATCCCCTCAGCCTTGCTCCCTATCTTCAGAGATCTGAACTCCTAAGGCCCGAGGATGGAGTAGGCAGGGTGATGGAGAATACCAGCTCAGTGGCTGGCCCAACCAGGGCAGCACACTGCTTCCACTCTAGTTCTGCATCCCTTAAGCTCTCAGAGCTTCGGTTTCCCCACAAGCCAATAAGACTGCCTAGTTCTTTGACTACAGCAACCTTTGAAGGGCAGTTGGAATGAGTTGTCCTGCTGTGTGAGAATGCTCTTGTATACTGCTAAGATTTGTTACCCATATTAGTTTAATAAAACGCTGATTGGCAGGTACCCAGGCAGGAAGTATAGGCAGGGCAACCAGACCAGGAAAATTCTGGGAAGAGGAAAGGCAGAGATGCAGTCGCAAGTCAGACACAGAGGAAGCAAGATGAGAATGCTGCACTGATAAAAGGTACCAAGCCAGGTGGCTAAGCATAGATAAGACTTATGGGTTGATTTAAGTTGTAAGAGCTAGTTACTAATAAACCTGAGCAATAGGCCAAACAGTTTATAATTAATATAAGCCTCTGTGTGTTTATTTGGGACCGAATGGCTACAGGACCAGGTGGGACAGAAATTTCTGTCTACATTGGTCAGTCTAACACCTGGATTGCTCCTAGCAGCCCAGAAAGAGTCACTTAGTCACACGCTGGGCCTGTTGCTTATGGGTGCTATCTTCAGTCGACTGGGAACTGAGATCCCTTGACTCACGGGACCCTTCTTGTCCCCATGCCCTCTTCTGTTGATTGACCATTCAAAGAAAGACTGGCTCACTGTCTCTCAGTCCTGTCTTTGGGACGACTATCCTTATTCTGTCCTGTGAACTTGGAGTGTGTCCCACGAGCCTGGCTGTCAACTGGATCAGTGTCCTCAACCTTTCCAAGAAAACACTCATTCTTCCTGGGCCCCCTGTGGCTGCCGCCAGCCAGTGGTTCCTTGAACTCACCCTGGTACTGCAAAAGCAGTAAAGTTGCATGTGCATTTTCAAATGCGACAGGCCCACCTCTTCCCAGGTCTGTCCGTGTGTCCTCCCTCACCCATACTCTCAGAAATGCATATACAACCACACTGAGGTAGGGAACAGACACCTTGTACCTGCCTAGCACATACTAAGGCTCAGAAGCTGAGCACAGGCAGAGACAAGTCCACGGAGAGCATGCGTGAGACACATCCTCCCAGGACAGTGTAGAAATATGGCTAGAGGATCCTGAGAGGGAGGCCACCCCAGAGATGCTCCCACCAAGGGCTGAGACCAGGCTTGCCACCGGTCACAACAACACTGCTTAGAGCAGGACACTGTTGGACAGGACCGACTGCAAACGACACCCAGCCACAGCCTTGCTCCGCCTCTGATGGACAGAAGCTGCTAGATTCTCCAGTGACTCTCCATGTTCAGTCTGTTTTATGTTTTTCTTAATTATGGGCAGAAAAGCCCTTATACAAACCAACCAAGGTGTATTTATTTGTCCCTGGTCTGCCCTTTGCTGGCTGTTGCTGCTAACTCACTTCCCTGGCCATTTTTGGGGACATTTCTCAAAAGTCCCTAAGATCACACAGACGGGTGAATTGATACCAACATGACTAGAATGTCTATTTTAAAACAAAAATGGCCGTGTGCGTCGTGATGGGTTCACCCAATACCGTGACAACAATGTCATTTCCGGTCACTGTGCAGTGTTCTCCAGCGATTCTGCTGTGTGGCAACACCTGTGTGAAATGCCATGGAAAGCCGGACCTGTCTGTCACCCTGGCCATTTGTGAGTCTGAAGTAAAAGGCTCCCTTGGGCCAGCAGTTTGAGACCAGACTGGACAACAAATCAAGACTCTTATCTCCTAAGAGGAGGAGGAAGGGGAGGGGTGAGAGAAAGGATAAGAGGGGAGAGGAGGGAGAGGACAGGGGGAGAGGGAAGGGAGGGGGAGGAGTAGCAGTGGTATTCTGTAGAAGGGATGTACCGTATGTAATTTGGTTAGCAGGTCCTCTGAATGTTGTGTGTGTGTGTGTATGTGTAGTGTGTGTGTATAGTGTGTATGTGTGAAGTGTGTAGTATGTTTGTGTATGTGTGAAGTGTGTGTGTGTGTATGTGTGCATTCGTGGTGAATTTAGACAGTACTTGAAGCCTACCTAGGCTAGTGGCCTTTGTGAGACTGGAAATGCCATCCCTTGGAAACACCTGGTATCTTTGACATCAGCCTTATGACAGAGCCCAGGCACATGGCTGTGAGTATGGAGGGCAGGGTGTCCTCTGCTCACTACTGAGAGCATGCAGCAGCATGCAGCCTCCCTCAGTGTGGCTCCTACCATGGTGCTGGCTCCCTCTTGCCCCACTATGTTCAGGAGAGCCAGGAGTATGCAGCACTGGACAATTTCCCTCCTGAGCCTTGTGGATGAGCTTAGAGCAGCCCTGTCAGGGAATGCTGCTGAGCCCTGGGCAACCTGGTAGCAGGAAACTGAGGTCCTGGGTGCTGGAACCAGTGTACAAGAAAGAGTCCCTCCCACGGAGCTAGCCTGGCCCTGGCCCAGCCGCTGGCCCAGCTGCTGTGTGCAGATAGAGGTAAGGTAGGATGCCCAATCCCTGAGGAAACAAAGGAGAAACAGCCAGGCCTAGCAGAGACAGGAGGGAGCTGCCTTGGTCACAACTCTGGCTTGGACCAGGTGAAGGGAGAAGGTAGCACCAAGGCGACATTCTCTACACTGCAGGGAGGACACACCCCTCCCCCTTCTTCTGGGGACTGAGCTGGGCTGCCAAAGGAGGGGGAGTGGCGGGAGAGGTTAGAGGCATCCAGGGACCCTGGAGGAGAAGAGATGCTATTAAAAATATAATTTGCTATGTGTGTTTTTTCTGATTACAAAAAGCAATGCATATTCATTGTAGAAAATTTGGAAAATAGAGATAAGCACAAAAAAAAAAAAGAAGAAAAAAAAAGGCAAATAAAACCTGCTCCTAATCTCCCCACTGGGGGAAAACTACTCACACAGCCAGCGTGATGGTCAAGAGCATAGGCAGGGACTACAGACAGAGTGTGTGCAGTCTCTACAGTACAGAATGCATCCCTTCCTGGGTTCTACCAAGGAGTAACAGCAGGGACTCGGGTGGCAGGAGGAGCAGACGTTCAAGGTCATCCTTGGCTACAAAGAGAGCCTGAGGCCAGCTGGGCTACATGAGACCCTGTCTGAACACACGCATGTGTACGTGCACATGCACACACACAGCTGGGGCCTGACACTCTGATTCTGGCTCTGCTATAACTGGATGCATGATCCTGAACAAGCACCTGACCCATGGGTGCCTCTGAGAATAATGGGTCTCCTCCGGTCTTGCTGGAAGAACTGTGTGAAAATGCCTAAACTCTTGGCACTTATTAAGTGACCAGTGAGGCTAGGTATGGCAGTGAACATCGCGATCTTGGCACCTGAGAAGTGGAGGAAGGAGTTCAAGGTCATCCTAAGCTATAACAGGAGTTTGGGGTAGCCTGTGCTACATGAGATCCTGTCTCAAAAAGATAAAAACCAAGTAACAACAACAACAACAACAAAAACTAACCAGGAAAGGAAAAGGAAAAGTGACTGGTGGGTATCAGCCATGTCTATGATAACAGGGATGCTGGTCACCTCCACTGACTGACTGACGGATGTCTCAACAACCTACCTAAAACAAGGCTTCTCAGTGTTATCGTCTAGCTTTCTCCTAGCCTAAGAAACAGGACCCCAGTCTCTGGGTATCTGGACACTTGGAGTTGCCCCAAGTCTCAGTTAGATCTCTATGGTCCACAGAAGTAGTCCTCAGAGACCATCTTCTATGTCCATGAATGTGGAGCAGGAGAAAGGAAGGAGGCTGGGCCTGGGGATGAGTCGGTGGGGAGAGAAGGAGAGAAGAGAAGACTGGGCAAGGAAAGATGGAGGAGGGGCAAGAGGCCAAGAGGAACACTCATGTTTACCCTCCTCCAGCCCTTGAACCTCCTGGCTAAACCACACACCTTCCCACAAAGTTATGAGGCTCTGCTACCCCACCCCACCCCCAGTCCCCAGCTGTTCTGCAGCCCCTCACCAACCATGGTCTGGCCTGTCAATAATTCATTGCTGGCAGGATACGATCTCTATCAATAATGCACACACAATAATGTTCTACAGCTCTGAGCACATTGTGTTACTCCTAATGTACGAAGAGCTGGGGCCAGCTCCCCAGTAGCTCCCTTAACAGGACCCCCAGGGCTCAGGAGAAGAGTGGAGCAGGGTCAAACCAGAGCGGCAAGGTCATCTTCTGGGGGACCAGGCAGGACCCCAACAGGGCCAACCAGCTCCTGCCTTCCACCCACAGGCAGGGAGCCTCTCCAAATCCAGCCCCACTACAGGCTGAGTTCAATCCCATCACCCCCACCTGTGAGCCGGTGACCTGGCCTTGCTCTTCTCTGTGGAGGTCAGAGGAACAAAAGTCTATACTGCGGAGGAAGCTTGGGGGGGGGGGGGCATTTTGCATGCTGACTGGACCAGACAGAGGTCTGGGGTCAATTCAGCCAGTACAAGGGTGTCATGCAGGGTTGCTCAGAAAGTAACTGGCTGTAGAGGATAGGCAGGTAGGGATTGTGTTATGAGTGAGGTTGGCTGTATGAGGCTGTAGGACAGAAGGGTCTCACACCCTCTCTAAACTAAAGATAGCATGGCATGGGTACTTGGGTCCAGGGTGCCATACTTGCTTTTGGACTTAGCTTTTTCAAGGCAAAAGCTTTATTTTATTTTTGCTTTTTTTTTTTTTTTTTTTTTTTTTTTTTTTTTTTTTTTTTTTTTTTTTTTTTTTTTTTTTTTTTTCAAGACAGGGTTTCTCTGTAGCTTTGGAGCCTATCCTGGAACTCACTTTGTAGACCAGGTTGGCCTTGAACTCACAGAAGTCCTTTGTCTCTGCCTCCCCGAGTGCTGGGATTAAGGGCATGAGCCACTTCTGCCTGGCATAAAAGCTTTATTTTAAAATTAGAGCTAAATTCTTAAGGGCAGGCTCCATGCCCAGAAGTAGATGATCAACACAGACGAACTCAAAATGGTATTTTTGTATATGTTTTACCTTATATTGTTTTGTTTGTGCATTTTTTATCTTAGTGGTCCTTTGTTTTTTGATTGTTTTATGCATATTATTGTTTTGCCTGCATATATGTCTGAGCATCAGTGTGTATGCTTGGTGCCCACTGAAGTCAGAAGAGGGCATCCGATCCCTGGGAACTGGAGTTATGGATGGTTGTGAGCCACTATGTGGGTGCTGAGAATTGAACTCAGGTCCTCTGAGTGTGGGGAAGGCCAGCTTCACTGGCTAAGCTGAACACCGTGAGAATCCCTGGAGTCTCGCCATGTGCTGGTCTTGTAGCATCCCCCTGATCAGAGCCATGTGTGACTGAGCCAAGTCGGGGGCTAGTTGTAGCCTCACATCAGGGAGCAGGTGAATTAATGATGGGCCCAGGCACATAGCACCCAGAATCCTAGTCACACAGCACACCGGCCACACGGACCTCTTAGATCTCTGGCAGCTTCCCTTTAAGACACACGTGCAGTCGCTTCTTTCCAGAGCCACCATATCTGGAGCGCGTCTCTCTGCACACCTGTAGCCCAACCCCTCCTGAAATATTAACCTGGTTCTTTATCAATGTTTCATCCGTTCTGTGCTCCGCATCACCCCTGTGACCCGTTTCTCACATTCCAGCCCGGAGCATGAAAAATGGATGCTCTCACTCCACCTGCCCTGGCGCTTTGGCCCAGGTTTGGGACTGAACAGGAAGTGATCTTGTTCACATGTTATTCCAGTCATCCAATTCCCCAGGCCTTCAGCATCGCCTACCCCGCTGGGCTTATTATTACCTTGCTTCTGCTTTTTCCGGGTGACTCTGTGTGGTCTGCATTTCTGGCAGGCAGAAAGAGCTGTGTTTGGCCACAGCGGCTCAGAGATTCCAACCTACGTGCCCAAGGTCACACAGTGAATGGTCCGTTGTCTCCAAGGGGCAAGAGTAAGCTCTGAGGGTGGTTGTTCTTTGCACAGGGCACCCCTACGTCATCCCCCCCCCCACCAGTATCCCCCTAACTCTGAATTCTCTACAGAAGGGGATTGATGGCCCCAGCCCTGGTCTTTTGTCAGGTGGTAGAAATAAGAGAAGAGGCAGGAGGAAGCAGAGGCCGTTGAGGTTGTTCCTTAGCTTAAGACCTTCCAGGGCTCCCTATTGACGTGAAATTTCTTCCACCCCCACCCACCTCAGCTTTGTAAGAAAGTTCCTTCAAAACGTGCTCACCTTACCTTACCTTATCCCCCTCGTCTCTCCTTACTTCCTCTGCAGTGGGTGGTCCACCTTCCTAGGCCCCTGCTGAGGCGCTCTTTAGAGATATTTCCTCCTGAACCAGGCAACTGTTTCTGCAGTCATTAAGGATTTCTGATGCCTGGGGCCAGCAGGCCCAGGATGAAGCCTGGGCTTTGGCATCTTATCTCTCAGGACCATCTGTAGGACAAGCAAAACCAGACTGGGCTCTCAGAGGCTTGCTTTGGGATGAGTCTCTCGGACCCCATTTCAAAGCCTCATTTTGCATCCTCTCTGACCCTTGCTCCTGCGTCTGAGAGCGGGGCTGTTAGTTTCCCAGTAGAGGGGACCTGCTTCCCCACAAAGGCGGAGGCAACCTTCCCTGCTGGTCATTTATGTTTTCATTAGTCTGGGCTAGGAGGAACCACAGAGAGCCACCACCCTTGACTCTTGGTCATCTGTCCCTTTGTGTATCTCCCAAGTGGCCACCCTGCCCCCCCCCCCCCCCCCCCCCGCGATCTTGGCTTTGACCTTAACCTCTCAGCACAGAGCTTGATGTGGAATGAGCCCTGGCTGATCTCAAGACGGTGGCCCCTCTGCAGCACTGAGGCAAGACTAGACTCCAGGGAGATGCTGGCTACCTTAGGGAGCTGAGGGTAGGCCTGGGCCTAGAAGCCAGTTCCTTGAGTTTGCAGTGAGGGTGGCTGCCACGTTCGCAGGGACTGCGATCCAGGAAGCGCCTAGCATTGTCTTCCCATCCCCCAAGGAACAGCAGCACCGCTGTGTTAGGGACCAACCACAGCACTCGCTCTTACTCACTTGTGCAACTGAACAAAGCTGTACACACACTGAAGCGAAGGGCAAAGGGTGGTGCCAAAGGCTGGGGCAAGGCACACAGGTGCCCTGTTGTGTGGCAGGTGGCTATGGCTAACAGTACTGTACTAAAAAATAGACCGGCAAGAGGGGATTTAAAATGTTATTGGCACAAAGACTCGGTAGGCGCTTGAGCGGCGGATATGCTAACTATTCTGATTTGATCATTGCGGTGTGTATATTCATGTCTCTAACATCATGTATACCCCGAGGATATGTACAGTTATGTGCCAATTAAAAACAAAATCATGGGCTGGGGGATACTGTTCAGCCGGTAGAACGCTTGTTTAGCATGCACAAGGCTTTATCTCCAGTCCTGCATAAACCCTGTGTGGTAGTGCCTGTATACGGAATGTGGAGGCCTGAGGATCAGAAGTTCAAGGTCATCCTCCACTACATAATAATTTGAAGTCGGCCTGGAACACATGAGACCCTGTCTCAGGAAAAAAAAATAGGGCTATCAAGATGGCTATGAAGCTAAAGGTGCCCTCAATCAAGGTGCTGGGAAACAGACTAACCGTTATAGTCCTCTAACTCCTGAGACAATGACGGAGAGGATCCCACTTGGTATCAAAGCCTCTAGCAAGGCTCCTCTGATGAGACTGACACCAACTACATGCTGGAGGCTACAGATGCCCATGACCTTGGGTCACAGAGCAGGGAAAGAGGCAGAAGTGGGTGTGGCAGAGATGAGTCTGTTGCTGGGACTCGTCCCGCCTCTGCTGCGCTCTTAGGCTACATCGCTGGTTGGGGCGACTGTTTGTGAGAACCCTGAAGGCGGCCCATTTTAGCTTTGTCCTCTGGAAGCGGTGCTGCTGTGAATAGCCAGGCTCCTCCCCGTTCCCCGGGGATGCTGAGCTCTTCCACCATATCCCCACTTCTTACCACTCCTCACAGAGTGGTATAGACTCTCCAAGCTAGCTTCGTAGGGCCTGGGGTTTTCCTATCTCTGGCCTTTTTTGACCTGGCTCCTATTCTTAGACACAACTGTCCTCTGGATGGTACTGGCGACAGTTAGACAAGACCATGGAAGAGACAAGCCCTTGGGCATGTTGAGTAGGGGTTACCTGTATTAAACTGTTTAAGATGGCAAGACTCACTGGGGGTCATGGTCCTGGACTGTGAAAAGGCAAGCAAGTGTTCATCCCAGCTTCCTGGCTGTAGATGTAAGATCACCTGCAGTTTCATGCTTCTGCTGCTGTCTGTGCCTCCCCCAACACGATGGACTGCACCTCAAATTGTAAGCCAATGTAAACTCTCCCTTAAGTTACTTTGGTCATGCATCTCGCCTTGGCAATATGGAAAGTGGATGTGCTTACTCTCTCCATCTTAGCAAGCCCCTTATCACCTGCTTTGTCCATCCCAGCTGCTAGGAAGCCACTGTGTTTAGCAGAGTCACCTCTCATCCATCTGTTGTATCCATTGCTCGGCCATCTTCCTGTCTCACTGGGTCCCGCTGCGACCCTTACCCCTTGGCCAGCCTGTTGTCTGCTTCCACCTCAGGGACCAGGTCTAGCGAGCCTGTGTGACTGACCTAGCTGTGCTCCTCTTCCCTTACTTTCCATGGATGCTGGCTATGGTCCGGTGAAGCCTGACCACCCATCTCCAGGTAACTAGATGGACCACCCAGGAAGTGGGTAGGTGGAAATAGCTTCCTGGGGCAGTTTTTCCCCTGGCTGCCAGGGAGAGGGGTAGAAAAGGCCAGCATCAGGTTGTAACTGGCCAGCCCTGGAGAGTACAGTTGTTAAAATGATGGTGTCCTCGTCATGGAAGAGAGGCCTTGATTATGGCAGGTTGGAAGGCGGGCCCCTCAAGGTGCATTTAGGGAGAAGTCAAAACCTTGCATCTTTTCATGCTGTGTCAAGCTGTTGCTGTCCTGGCATGGAGCCAACCCCTCCATTGGTCCAGCCAGCTCCAAGCAATAGCCTTCCTATTCTCTCCCCTCCAGTTCACCAGCCATCTATAGGTGCGGTCCTGGCATGGGGAGCTAGCAATTGTGTACAGCATCTTTAGTGTGGGGACCAGGTCTAACCTGTGCTGGCGTGGGTCAAGAGGGAATAGATGCATGTCACACAACAGCAAGGAGGCCACTGAAGGTGGCTGGAGCTTGCTCGACTCTGTGATTTATCGACTCTTTCACCGTCTACCTGGGAGGTCCTTGTGCCTTCTGTCTTGTGGGCAAGGCTGTCTAACCAGTTTGGAAGGCTCTTGACCATCCTGTAGCCAAATACAGGTCCTTTTCCTTTTAAGTTTCTGACTCGGCCAAGGTGTCCAGGACTCCAGAAACCTGCGCTCTGTTAGGAGGTTTATCTGAGTCTGGAAAGAACAGCTGGTGTCTGAGTCCAGCAGACCCCGTCACCCAGAGGGGGAAGAGAAGATGGGTAGGCATGGTCCTGAGCTCAGAGCAGAGGCTGACACTAGAGACTTCTCAGAAGGCCAGGCTCAGCCTCCAACTTGGGAGTAGCAGCCAGCAGCCTGCCTGGGAGGGGCAGCCATCAGCTGTCACCCACTTGGGGGTCATGATGGGGAAAAGATACAGGGCCTGGGCCTATGTCCACACAAAGGAAAATGGAAATCTGAGGAGAGGATGGAAAAATCCTCTGATCTCTGGGGTGACATGTGGTTAGCTGAGGTCTTTGGGATGCGCCATCTGGAAGCTTTCTTGGTGGCTTCAGCTTGTCCTACCTGTACCTTGGGCTTCGGTAGGCTCAGCTAAGAATATGTCAGCGACAGAGCTCTGTGGATGTAGCCAGCCAGTGATCAGATGGGACTGGAGTGAGGGGTTAGGTATGATGGGAGCATCTTCACTTGCCATCATCACTATGGAGACTGTCTCAGAGTAACAGGCCTCTCTGCCCTGGTGCTAACAGCCTAGGAATCTGACTGCGGGGCTGTGACCACCAGCTTGTCTAACCTGGAGAGGCGCCATTAGGCGATGCAGACAAAAATACCACAGGTGTCGAAGGTGCCAGGCAAAAACGTTCTGGGGCAGAGATCCTAACCTTGTCTGAGAACAGGGCCTCTGTTGGCAGAGTGGGTGCTGTGGCTCCCTTCACCCCTCTCGGCTCGGCGGGACTTGGGTTTTGAAGGCTTTCTTCTTCTTTAGTCTTCTGCTTGTTACTCAACAACACAGGCTTGGAATAAGGCATGCTGTGAAGTACAAACGGCTTTCTCTGATGCCAGCTACTCCCGAGTGAGATAACCTGGAAAGGAAATCAAACAAAATGGGCTTCTAGATCTGCTTTCTGACGGCCATGCTAAGACGGAGTTCTGGCTTTTCATTTCTCACAGTTTAGACTTCCCCCTGGGATGATTTCCTCTCAGGCTGAGATCGCAGCTGAGTGAGGGTCTCTGCACTGCGGAGACCACACTTCGCTATCAGTTTTGAAGAATGCCTTGGCTAAATAAGTAGAATTATTTTCACTTTATAGACCATTGAAAATATTTTAATAAGATAGAGGAATTGGTCCCTATATTTGTAAATAAAACATGATTGAGTTCTGCCAACTCAGGGCAATTGATGCTGTCACCTGCTGGCAGCCCAGGATGAGACCGTGCCTGCAGGGGCATTCTAGGGTCTGGGGCTAGTTAGTTTGTATGAAGGAAGCTGTGGTCATGGCTTCCTGGCTCCCAAGGTCTGACAAAGGTGTCAGCTTCCTTGGAGGGCTAGAAGACGGCCCAAAGTCTGTTCTTTAGGCCGTTGTAAGCTTCTAGGGTGGCATCTTGACTCTTGTTTGATGCTTATTCTGATTTTTCTTACACGTTAACTCTGGAGAGCTAAAGGTCATGCTGGGCATACGCAGTCACTGAAGCAAGCAGGTGTATCAAGCTTTAACGATCTTTCTGGCAAAATGGATGAGGCCCTGGGGATTGAGTTTGGGCTAAGTATAAGTGAGGAAGTCAGTTAGTGTATGAGTGACATCCAATGGAGACAGGGAGAGCCGATAGAATATCAGAAGTCACAGGGGTGGTAAACGGGTCACAGGAAGAAGCACAAGTATTCAGCCTCACAACCAAGGGGAATGCAGTCGTGTGAGATAGTGGGTGTTTGAGAGACTCCAGTTTCAGAGTCATTGGAAATAGCACCGTTTCAGTCCTGAGCAAGCACGGCCCATGATGTCCCTGGGTCACTGAGATGTGGACAGAAGGGTCTAGACAAGCGAAGTCATTCCTAAGTCTGTGTCAGGAAGAGCGTTGGCTCGGAAGAATGATTACAATCAACTACTGAAGTGGCAGAGGTACCTGGATAGGGTATGAAAGAGCCCAAACTTGATGACTAGGAAAAGCACAGGTAATAGTGCAGAGAGGCAGGAGGTAGGTGGCCAGGTGGTCAAGAGGGTGCGGCTTCAAGATAGGACACATGAGGAAGGGAGGGGAGTCTAGAATGGGGGTACCCATGTGGTTTACTGAAGCGTGTGATTTGGCACCCTTTAGACACTGTTAAATCAGTGCAATAGAGGCTGCATTAAAGACATCGGGATGGAGGGTGAATGACTTTAACAAATCCTGTGTCTGGTGGACATGGCCTGTCAGAATCAGCCTTAAGGCCTAGATGGCTTTCCATCTCTGTAGTCCCCCTCCTGCCCTCCCTATATGCCCAACCCTCCACTTTTGGTCTAATTCGCTGTATCTTCTTTGTGTCCCTCCTCGGTGTCCCTCTCACACTGTATCTTCAGATCCCCAGTGTCCCTCTCACATTTCTCATGAGCCGCACCTGGCTCGAGACCAGATTCAAGCTCAACTCTTGATGAGAACCCTTGATGAGACCACAAGCCTTTCAGGAGTGTGTACCATCCAACTACAACTCACAAACACAGTTACCCGGCTACAATGTGGCAGCGTTCTACAACTGTCTAAAAGCTTATTCCGTTTGTCTATCTTTTTATTAGTTAAAAAAAATTCTAATTTAAAAAATTAAAAAATAGTTCCATTATTTTCCTCTTCTCTCCTCTCTCTTCCCTCCAGTCTCTTCATGTATCCCCTTTATAGCTCTTAAATTCATGGCCTCTTTTTATTTGTTACATAGACACACACATACACCTAAACATATAACTATAATCTGCTCAGTCTCTGTAGCATTACTTGCATGCATATGATTTCAGGGGTGACCATTGGATAACTATCTGTGAGGCTCATCTGTGGGAAACACTACTCACCCCAAATTTTCCTTCTTTGTCTAGGGTTGGGACCCCATGAGACTTCCTCCTTTCATGTCTGTTGGTGTTGATCTTATTCAGCCCTTGTTCAGGCAGTCATGTTGGTAAGACTACATGGGTGTAGCTTCTCTGGCTTTTCTAGGAGATACAGTCTCACAGTGAACGTCCCATTCCTCTGGCTTTTACAATCTTTCTGCCTTTTCCTCAACAATGTTCCCTGAGCCTTAGGTATAGGATCATCTATCTTTTAAGCCAGAAAGAACTCAACATTATCCTCACATCTTGGCCAAACACATTTGGTGTTAGTTACTAGAGTTTCAGTCTGGTGTCTTGCTGTGAAGAGACGCTATGACTTTGGTAACTCTTATAAAGAAAAACATTCAATTGGGGGCTGGCTTACAATTCCGAGGTTTAGTCTATTATCATTACAGCAGGGTATAGTTGGAGTGCAGGCAGACAGGGTGCTGGAGAAAGAACTGAGAGTCCTACATCTTAATTCATAGGCAACAGGAAGTGAACAGAGTCACTGAGTATAGCTTGAGCATAGGAGACCTAAGAGCCCACCCCCATAGTGACATACTTCCTCCAATAAGGCCACACTTTCTAATAATGCCACTCCCTTTGGGGGACATTTTCTTTCAAACCACCACACCTAGTAAAGCATAGTAGATTGCTGTGTTCACAGCCATGGATCTGTTTGGAGCAGATGTCATGGAGAGTACTATTCGGGAATAACTGGATGTGGCATTGTAGATGCTTAAACTGGACCCAAAGTACATGGATGGAATACCTCTATATGAACTCACAAAGTAGGTATATAGGACTAATTTGTGTAGGTCAGAGCTGCCTGAAGTATGATGATCAGTCTTTGAGAAGATAATGGACAAGAGACAAACCTTCCCTGAATAATACCACCTGACTTAAAGAAGGCAACTTTTGGTAATTTCTGTAATATCTGTGTTTAAAATTAGAATACTGAGGAGGAGCCAGACCTTGTGGTATGGGCCTGTAAAGGCAATACTCAGGAGGCTGAGGCAGGATACTAGTGAGTTCAAGGCCAGCCTAGGCCATGTAAAAGCATTCTGGTTTACAAAATAAACAGACTTAGAGTAAATCAGAGAAATAGTTCTCTTAAACCAGGGACATGTTGGTTTTGATTCCTAAAGTCATAGGCTAAACTGTGTTGTAGCTTACCTCACATTCAGACCTGGACTTGTGCTAAATTCTAGTCAACAGACTATGACCAGAAATGCCTCCTACTTGAAAGTCCCACCCGTCCCCCCTCCACAAATCTTATTTTCTTCCTCATCTATAGTAGAAACTGAGGATGCAATGGAGGGCAGAGCCACAATGTGGAAGGAGGCTGGGCTCCCAAACAGGTACTGAAGATTCTAGCAAGAATATCAACATTATTCTGAGAGGGGAAAGTACAACTTTGTAGCCACTTAGATGGATTATTAAGTCAGCTAGTGCTAATTACAACAGGTCATATAAGTCAGTCTGCTGAACATGCAACATTTAGTTGCCTTAAGCTTGACTAAATTATTTTTTCTGAGCTGACTCAGTTTCCAGTGTTATATGTTAAAAGTAACCTAGTTCATGGGAGAGGGTAGAAGGGGAGAGGGGATGAAGGGGGGCAGAGAAAAAGGTATAGTGCAATAAAAACAAAAAAAGTAACCTAGTTATCATAAAGCCTCAGAGCAGCTGAGCAACTTCAAAGGAAGTTGAGTCCAAAACCATGACAGGAGATTTGGTGTACTCTAGCAGAAGGCTTCAGGGTTGGGGTAAGGAAGCAAGCAAATTTTGGGAGATACTATAGGAGGTGAGTTTAGTCTTTGCTTCCCCCTTGAAGGCTGGCACCCTAGTAGGGAGAAGTCAGAATACTGCAACTTATTCCCTCATAGGTAGGCTCCTTATGGATTCTCTCCTGCTTTGACTCAAAATAATCCCCACCTGTGAAGGCCATACAGCATTCTGGGTTGAAGCAGCCATCAAAACCCTATTGGTTCCTTTGAGAGCAGCTCTCTTGGCTTATTGAATATTCCAGAAATATATTCGTGAAGCTTTCTTCTTCCCAGGAGGTACCTAAGTCTCGGAAAGTGTACTTTACCCATCAGGGAGGTCATGAGACATTGCTTGGTCTTCTGTTCACATTGTGCATCCAGCAAAGGCCCAGAGAACACCCCAGTCTCCAAGCCTTGCTGAAGGTGAAGGAGGAGCCTGCAGGTCCAGGCAGACTCTGAACTGTTTGCTCTCCAGAGAGTGCAGCTCTGCTCTCAGAAATCTTGTAGAGGGAAATATAAGCAGCTGCTTGCATGTTGCTGTGTTTTCAGACTTAGCTTTCACATAGACAAGTACATGCCTGCTCTTTAATTGGACCTGACTGTCCAATGGCCTACACGTCCGAGGATCAACTCTCTTTAATTCCAATTCATATTCCCCTCGTCCCACTGGACCTTAGTGGTGGTGGACTTGAGAAAATTATTCCATGTTGTCTCTGATCATTATGCATAAGTAAGAGGGTGACCTTGAAAGTTACCTGGAAGGGTATATGATACTAGTTGATGCTGGGGTTTGGCCCTGGGAGTGTGTAGCTGGGCCTAACAGTCTTCTGGGAGACTCTGTGCTGGGAACCTCAGGAGAGTGTGCAGTTCCAGCCTGGGCTACCTGCTGGGCCTCTGATCAGGATGCTCTGGGTTGTAGGGTGTAGGTGGAAGCAATACTGGCCTCTATAGCTCATGGCTGGATTGGCTGGACTTGCTGCCATGCGGGTTCTCAGTCAGCAAGGCTTCTTAGGATCTGGAGGACTACTTTTCCCATGAACCTCTTTTCTTTGCTGGAGTATCATTCTTCCCAGGAGCTGTAAGAGATCACGGTAGTATCCTTGGCTGACATTGAGTGTGTGTGGGGGTCCTTGGTCTGGTGCTCATCTTAAACAGTGTATCCTGGGCTGTGGCCTATATTGGGTTCTCCCATCTGAGACAATTACTCCCTTCAATCAGGGAGTCTTGTGTTTGCAGCTGCTCAGAAAGAGGTGGAGTCGAGGCAGTTTGTAGCCTTTTGTGCTGAAACAGAGATCTAAAGCCTTTAGCGAGGTCTCCTCTGCCTCTTAGTTAGGTGCCTGTGGCCTCAAAGTGGGCGCCTTCAGCAGTCAGTTGTATTTGCACACACAGACAGAATGGGAGGGGGGCTCTGGGGTTTACGAGAACCAGTCATAGCTAGGCTTGTGATTCAGAGGGAGGGCTGGATGCCTGTTACTATGGTACTGGTTTTTGAAATAAGAGAAAGCTTTACTGCAGGTCAACTGACAAAGAGACAGGAGGCACATACAAATCTTTCTCTGATTGGCTGGTAGCTGAGGAATTGCTGCAGCAGCCAGGGGACAGGGGGCTAGCATGTGATTGGAACCAGAGAGTTTGTTGTTTCTTATTGTGATCCCTCCTCTGACTATCAGTGGCACACTTATTTCATAGATAGGTCCATGAGGTCCCTATTCTTGCGCCTTAGGTTGTGGTGGCAAGACTTTTGCCCCACCAGGCTCTCAAGTTGCTGGGGTGGCCCTGTATGACCCAATGTTCTTTGACTCTGGGTCAAATTGGCCAACAGTGGGCTCCTCTGGAGGATGGAAGTGCAATGAGAACATGTGTGATGTGTGATGGTCAACGGGCCCATGACCTGATGCCACCCTATAGAATAGGCTGGGCTAGATGGGGGCTAAGGGGAATTCAGCAGTAGAGTGTCTCCAGAGTCAGCTACTATTAGGTACCTCAGCGAGCTCTCCTCTGCCTATACCAATATTATTGGGTATTTCTTTTATATCTAATTCCAACCCCTCCTAATTCCAGGACTTTGAGTGATCACATGACTTGAGAAGAAAATCTCACACTTGGCCTTTCCTCACATAGTCCCCAGTGGTCCAGGGTGTCCCTGAGGAGAGAGAGTTCTGGTCCTCACATAGGTGTCCTTGGATTAGTACTGAAAAGAATGAGGATCTTATCCCTATTGTGGATGCAGCCCAGATGATCACAGCTGGAACCCCCAGAGAAGTTGTGAGATGAGATACTTGGACCTGAGGCCCATGCTGAGGGCCTCGTGTCCTCATACCGATGGATGTTCATATAGAGGAACAAAGCCTGCTAGGACCTTCCTCTCACCTGTCCTTGAGTCTGAGGATTTTCATGAAGCCTGGTTCAGTGTATTTCCAAGATCATGCAGGCTGCTCTTCATCCTTGCTCTGTGCTGAGATCATCTTAGAGACAACAGAAGCCCCATGGAGAGTCTCATGGCTTATGCCTTGGCTTCTAATTTGCTCTGTGTTGATTGAAGACTGTACATAAGGATTCTTCTATCTTGTTTCTTAAGACTTAGTCTTTCTGATTCTACCTGATTTTGTATCCTGAGGTACTTAGAGGAAAGAGCCATGACAGCTGAGGCCAGCCATGGTAGAGTTAGAGCCTAGGCTCTATTCTTTCCTTGGCAGAGTCTAGGATCTATTGCCCCAGGGAAGTCTTTCTTGGCTCCTCATAGGCTACCTTATTGATTATTGAGCATGGACCCTAATCTAGGCCCCACTTCAATTAACAAATGACTCATATTTGGACCTGGTTTCTCTACCATTCTAACCCTGGGGTCTTCCCAAGACCTTGGCTGAGAGAATAGAGGTATGAATAAGAGAATAAGCAGGTTTGAATGAGAGAAGAAGCAGGTATGAATGAGGCTCGCTTTTGCTATCAAAGTCCAACTCTATAGACCAGTCTCTTCCTGCACATGTTAAATGCCTGGGGTAACATCAAGCATCATAGACCAAAGTTACATAAAGTGGCCTGAGAAGATTAGCCTCTTTGTTTTAGAGGACAGAGACTGAGCTGAAGGTGCCAGAAGCTTCCCGAAGGGCTGTGAGGAGGCTCTGCCCCAGGCTGCCAGCCAAGCTTCAGATTGATTTCTCACCATGGCCTTGTTTTCTTATAGAAATATCATCCCAACTGCCACTGGCTCGTGCATGTTTGTAGTCTGATTTGCCATCCTGAGGACAGCAGTTACCTTCTACTCCAGCTTACTCTAATGACTTCACGCTAACTTGATTTCCTCTGTAAAGGTATCATTTCAAATAAGATTATAGTTTTGGGTGCAGTTGGTTGGGACATCATAGGTTTGTCAAGTCTAAAGCTAACCCAGAACTGTGCCCCAGGGAGAGTAAGGGCTGTTAGACTTCTGCTGCAGCCACCGCCACACCAAGGCTCAGTAGACTGCCTAGCCTCAGCTCAACTCTGGTCTATGGTGATTAGTCTACAACTTATCTGGTCTGATGTCCTTGGGTTTGTTGATACAACCCTAGAAAATGTCATGGGCTCAAGTTGGTCACTTGCGTGGATAGTATTAGAACGTTTCAAAAGCTTCAGGATTCCCCTTTCCTCCTAGGTCTCTCCTTTTCCTCGCTCTATGTCACTGAGACTTCCATGAACTTGAATTCATAGGTGAATTCAATATGACATGGGGATACCTCCTCTTCTGGAAGCTCATTCTTGACCGGCATTGTCCTCTTCAGGCCCTGGCAGTCTGCCTGTGGTGTTTCTGGACAGCATATGTGGCTTCCCCCTATCTCCCATGTGGAAGTAGCCCCAGAGAGGCTGACGTGTCTAGTGTCTACACATGGACCTGACCTGGGCCATATCTGTCCAGTCACATAGGCTGTTTCCAAGCTCTTGCAAGGCCTTGATTTTAGTTACCTCTACTCAGCTCAAGTCCGCTATGAAACTCTTCTTGACTTCAAGGTCTCAGTCTGAGGGCTTTGGAATCTAGCCCAAGAACAAGGCTGAGACCTGTTGGCATCACAGATCATCATCAGCCTGTCAACTTCAGGAGACACTGTGATCCACAGTTCTTATATCACAAGGATTATCTCGTCTACCTAGATGCCAGTGAGTAGCTCATGTTTCATCCAAATTGCTCAAGCCTCAAGCTCCTCTTTTGTAGAAGTAAGGCACCCATGGCTGCTGTTTTCCCCTTCTTCTTGGAATTCCAGTGGTTGCTTTTGTGCCCATGTCCACACTTAGGTACCTCCTACCACAGAGCCAACTTACCTGGACAGAGAACCTATTTAAGCTACTCTTTGCTTTGTTTAATTGAGCTCTAGGTCTGACTCTTGAGCTCTGAAATGGCTCCATTTCCATACTTCCCTTATTTAATAGCTTATAGCATCAATGGTTAGCCCTCTTGGCAAGGTTACTGGGAGTGTCTTTGGGTCAACCTGGCCAAAGGGGTTCCCGTAATGTCTAACCAGGGGGCTCTCATGTTCTCCTGGATCAGTCCCTGAGGTTGGTAACTCTTACCCTGTTCTGAATCCCATATTTGCTGTATAATTTGCCATTGCTTTATCTTCATGAGCACTAGGAGCTGTCCATCTGTCTTCCTGCTCATGTAGAGGTTTCCACGTGTGACGGCTTAAGGAGCATCCGTGATCTTCCTCTAGAGGTGGTGACTGTTCTCCCAGGAGCAATAGATAGCTCTTCCTATGGGAAAGATATTTGCACATGAATATTTCAGCAATTCACAGTTATGAGCTTTTCAATGGTGCACGTGCACTGTTATTATGAAAGAGAAGGATGGTAGGGGTCTTCATATGGAACACACCACCCCAGATCTTCTTATCCATGCAAAGCTATAAACACCAATCCTTCCTAAAAGCACTGGCCACTCTCTCAAGAGACCTATACCAGAAATGTTTCTTCCATGCAATGAATCCTTGAAATACTACTCACACAAGCTTTTCTTACAGGCATTGCCAATGCACGTGCTCTATTACAACAAAAGAGATAGATGTACCCGTGTTTACACTGGACCACATCACCCCCAAATCTCGTTCAAACATGCAGTGCTTCAAACCACCACTATAGTATGTGACGGGCAATTTGCTTATAAGTGTTAGCACTGCGAGTTTCTCCAGAGTTGCTGGGCAACAGATGGACCTGCCTCATTGATGCTGGCTCCACGATGAACTAAGCTCTTTTGTAAACACTGTTTTGTCTCTAGACTGACTCGCCTGCTTTGCTGTCTCTGAATGAAGGGATGACCAAGAACCTGGACATGGACCTTTCTTGGAAGTGATGATTTCTGGGGTTCAGTGGTTGAAGACTACACCTCCTCAGGTTCACTCCTGGGACCTGCAGCATCTTCCTTCCACTGTACAGGTCTTCCCTGTTCGGTTCCTCTCTTCAAGCATGGTTATTTTCAGAATCTGGGCATGCTGGCTTCTTATAGCATCCTTACTTGCTGTTCCTGCACCCCAGTGTCTGTCCTGCACAGTTGACTCCCCTTTCTTTTTAAAAAAGATATTAATTTTTATTTTTTCATGTGTGTTTATATGCATATATGTTTGTGCACTAAATGCATGACAGCTGCCTGCAGGGGCCAGAAGAGGGTGCCACATCCCCTGAAACTCGAGTTATAGACAGTTGTAAAGTTGCCATGCAGGTCCCAGGAACCTAATGTTGGTCCTCTGCAATAACAGCCACTACTTGGTCATCTCTCTAGCCCTCTTGGTTCTCCTTTCCTAACCTCTTCTACCTGACACTTCAAGGCCAGCAGCCCAGTAGAAACGTTATAGTCACTTTGTTCATATGAAGATGATGTTAGCTTGATCTTTTTCAGTTGAGCACAAGTCCAGGGCTTTTCCAAGAAAGTCTTCAGTTCTGATAAGACTCTGGCCTCCTTTAGACCTTCAAACATGGATCTGTGTTGGGGTCTACTTGTGGTCTGAGCTCCTATGTAAAAATATCCACAGACAAAGAATGGACTTTGGCCTATGTTGGTTCCAGAATATCTGCTTCCGGCTGGTGGGAGTGAGATAACCCCTTGAGTCTCCTTCTGGGACTGCCTTCTGCTGACTCTGTCTGGTCTGCTTCTTCCTCTGTCTCCTGAGCCTCTGGCCAGGCCTTGGGTTCCACTGAGTCAGACTCACAGATCTCATAAGGACACCTGATGCTGTCTTACTGACTTTGTTTCTTTACACTGACGCAGCTGTTTTTTCCTTGGGTAGAGACTGTAGCTAGGGTCTCTGCTGTTTATATTCCTGAGAGCTAAATCCTGATCCATAGGCAGAGAGAGAGAGAGAGAGAGAGAGAGAGAGAGAGAGAGAGAGAGAGAGAGAGAAGAGGAAAAGGGAAAGAGAAAGTCTCTGAGCTTGGCATGGCTTTTGAAACTTCAAAGCCCACCTCCCAGTGACACACTTCCTCCAACAAGGCCACACCTCCTAATCCTTTTAATCCTCTCAAATAGTGCCACTCCCTGGTGACTAAGCATTCAAATACATGAGCCCATGGGAGCCACTCTTTTTTATTTTATTTTTTTGGAGCCCGTCCTGGAACTTGCTCTTGTAGACATGCCTGGCCTCGAACTCACAGAGATCCACCTGCCTCTGTCTCCCAAGTGCTGGGATTAAAGGCGTGCGCCACCACCACCTGGCTATGAGAACTATTCTTATTCAAACCATCACTCACGCCATCTTGTCATCTCACCCCGTCTTTGCCAGCTCCTCTCCTGGGAATAGCCACTCAGACGCCTCCCTCCATCTCAGTACGTGCTGTGCTGAGAACAATTTTGCCTTATCTGCCTGGGGGACCAATATTTTGGTTGCTACCCTTTAGGAGAGTCGGAGAGTCAGATTGCTTAACTTAACAAAGTGCTACCAGACTGTTCTCTGGAATAGCTGCTCAGGGCATATTCACAGGGCAAGGCGTCCATATTCCCGTCTCCCTGAATTCCTATTAGGAATCCACATAACCCAGCTATGTAGCACGCACAGTCTAACTGGTATGAAGGGATTCCAATATGTCATTAACATTTCTGAGTTCGAGTGTTTTCTTAAGAAACATTTTACATGGCCTTGACCTTGCCTTTCCTTCTGGGGCTTCCCCTTGGTCTCATTTCAAAGGACATGCTCTCAATCAAGATGTTGACCCCTCATGGAGTTTAGATACTGCATGTCATTCTGGCTTCCGTAACCCGATTCTGAGCTCAATGGATGAAGCTTGGTTTAATTCATCTCTGATCAGATTCACATCTCTGCTCTGTGGTTTATGCCATTAGTCTCACAATGTTCTTTCCTAGCCCACAGCCACTTAATACATAACTTACACTCCCTTCTATTAGGATTTTTAAATAAATCTGGGCTCTTACAAAAATGGCTATGTCTAAGAAACTTCTGTAGATGCCTAGATGCACAGATGGTGTGGCTCTTGACTGGCTGTGTCATAGAGGGTGGTTTTGAACTTTGGCCTCCACCTTCCCAGCTTTGGGATTACAGGTGTGCTGCCCTGCCTGATTTACAGACAATGATGCGATGTTCAATCTTCTTTCCTTTTCTCTCTGGGATGAGTGCCACACCAACTCCAGTGTCGTCTGTGTGACATGACATATGTCATTATGCAGGACGGGAGCTACGTGTCCCATGGGACTAGGCTTCCTGGAGGTCAATGGCAGACAGCCTGGTATTGGCCACCCTTGAGGCATAGACAAGTTTCTTGATTAGCTGGCTATGCGGGATATGGGCTTTGCACACTCTCATTTAATAATTATATTCTATGTATCCACAAGACAAGGAACAGCTCTGGGATAGGGAAGCACAGTATGGGAATAAAGAAGACTATAACAGAACCCTTGTCATACATGAGGTGTATGACGAGCAAGGGAACAGATGGGTCAATGTTGATGGACAAAGACTGTTATATTATACTTTGAACTTTATGGATAGGCTTACTAGATCCCATCCCCCATGGTGTCTGCTGCATAAGAAGGTACTAAAAAGTATATTTCAACAGGTGCAGAGAACTGATTAGGTATATTTGGTCACTAGATGAAATAAAGGGTTAGGAAGAGGAAAGGCCATGAGAGCGATAATGAGACAGAAACTTTCTGTTCATAAGATGAAACCACTTGTTTGAGGTTTACATTCCCAAGTACAAGATTTCCTCTTCTAAGGATGCTTTATGTCTAACACCTGTTCCTGATAATGTACTTTTCTTAAATATCGTTGATGTGACTAAAGCTTTCATACTGTGCCAACCAATGACACATGACCTTCTGATTTGTTCTTTGTTTGAATACTATATAATGAAAATATGAATTCAGTAAACTCGCAGCAGATTCCAACCACTCTCTCGTGTTTTGTGTCTGTCATTTGCCAAACTTGTGCCTTCCTGTTACCAAGACCCTGCTTCTCCCACGGTCTGAGTGGCTCCCCTGAGCCGGTTCGTGGCAGATGAGCTTGTTTCCCTGCCCTACTTAGACAAGTGTGGCCTTGGATCAAGATTTGTAACCACTGTTTTTCCATTGGTGCATCCGGGCTTTGCTGCTTTGTTTTGTGTATGTCCTTGTACTTAGCCCTCATCAGCTTTGTCTCTGGCCCCTCCTGACAGGACACGTTCCCCTCACACTGCTTTGAGGTTGACTTAACTATTTGTAGACCCCTTTCTCCATGGGGGTTTAGAGTAAATTAATATTTAAGTAAAAGAATTTGAGATTACACTGACTTTATAAAGTAATCTGGCAATAACCAAGACTTCAAGTGTTTTATGGTCTTAAACTAATTCTCTTATTAGACTTTAAGGGAATGCCTTAAAAACCTTACAGAATGCCTTTTCCTGGTTTGCTAAATCTACTAGTTCCTAAACAGGGGGTCATTAGAACGACTTTTTCATTTACTTATGTAAATGAAGACATACTGATTTCCTGAAATCAACTCTCATTTCTAGAATAAAAGCTACTGGGTCACAGCATAATCCTAGCTGGCGACCTCTTCGGTGTGCTGTGTTCTTGTCCACAGGTGACATGATCTGAACTTCCCTGCCTGGGATTTTGGCAACCTTCTGAAGAAAGTAGGACCCACACAGGAATGTGTCACCAAAAAGGGACAGGGTGTGGGTGCTAGACAGTAGCTGGGTCAAGGCATCCACACTAGGAAAATCCCTAGGCAGGAGTGTGAAGAATGGGTCTTGGTTTACGCATATCTCTGCTATAGGCTTATACCTTCTGGAAAACCCAGACCATAACCAGATTAAGAAAGGATATATTTTCCAGTCCTGTGCAGGCCCATCCAAGTGGACTTCCTGCCAGCCGACCTGGTGTGTTGGAAGTCTGGCTGGCCATGACTAGGGCACACTCCTTCTCTATTCCTTTGGGATTGTTCTACTAGCAAACACACTATCTGTTCTCCATGTAGACATCTTTGTTGTAGTCTCATCATTGTTGATGTGGTAAAACTCTCTGATCAAAAGCAACTTTGAGAAGACAAGGATTGGTCTGACACAGTTCAATCAATGAGGGAAGTCAACGCAAGAGCTCCAGCAGGAATTTGAAGCAGAAACCTTGGTGGATTGCTGCTGCCTGGCACACTCTGGCTCATACTTAGCTAGCTTTCTTATACAGACTGGGCCCATCTGCTTAGGGCTGGCACCACCCACAGTGGGATGGGCCCTCCTCCATCAATTAACAATCAAGAAATACCCCCACAGAC